GGAAGGAGCGAGGGAGGCAGGATATAAACACAAACGGAAAGTGGACCTTTCCAACCTCGTGGCGAGAACGTGATGAATCGGGAAGGAACGACAGACGAGAGGAGGGTCAGGCGAGGGGCAGAACCAACGAGGACTGCTCAGCTCTGCCTCATCTTGTCACCAGGCCCCATCTCACAAATGTCCCATGTACCAAGAGCCAAGACATAACGAGTCCGTAAGGGGCACGAGGGGAGCGCGGAGGGCGGAGGGAGGGGACGAGTGGTGAGAGTGAGAACGGAGTCCTGTCGGGAGGAGTGGAGGGAGCGCTTTTCATTGGCTCACGACCAGTGCGGCTGTGAACAAGAAAATAGAAATGAGAACGAGACGTGCCAGAGAGGAAGCACTGATACGACATTGGAAAGGCAGAGATGGGGTGGGACAGGGTCCGCGTGGGCTGGCATGGGTGTGGGAGGGACGGAGAACAACAATGGGAATGGGGGTGTGTGTAACGAGGGCCGGTGGGATGCCTGGAGTTAGCGAAGTAATATTGGCTGTCATATGTTACGAGGCTGCTTGTGTCGTCTCTGTTTGGTTAGGTAGTCTTGTGGCATTTTTGGTTTCTGGACGGGCGAGGTCCTTTCCGCTTGCAACGTCTTGATGCACATTGAGTTTTCTTGCATCTGCCTTGCTATTCCGTGACAGGCTCCGGCCGTGATGTAGGACAGCGAAATCGTAGAGGAGGAGGCAGAGGGTCGGAGTGGTCTGTCTCAAAAGGATATTGACAATTGTCAGAGGGGGGGGCGACTGGTGAACGACAACTAAAAACAATAAAACGAAGTGGAGCATGTGGGCATATGGGGTATGAGAAACACGTTTTTCCCCTTCTCTCCCCTGACCACAAAAACAGGTCGTACCAAGTGCAAATCAAAATGTATGCTATTCCGTACCAGCAGGGACAGTCGAAAAGAAGAGGGAACCTGGAACGGACACCAGAAAAACGGAGACAGAAACCACAGGACAGAGACGCCACGAAAAAGCCCAAGGGTGGACGTCCCCGTATTGAAAGACACGCAATGTCGTTTGCTGTCACGCAAAACGGGCCGTAGAGTGGAGGTGCATGGAGCGAGGTGGAGGTGAACGCAAGGGTCCCTGGCCGTCGTCGTAATATTGTTGGAGGATCACGGACAGAAGCGGACAGTCCCGTTTTTGTTTTGCGTGCCATTTTCGTCAAACGACAACCCAGCAGTCACTGATCTGTGGCCCCAGTATGCTGAAACGGCGAATTACATCGTAGGTGTCTAGCGAGGCAATTGTGGGATTTTCTTTTCTTTTCCTGCCTTTGCCTGTCACTTTTTTGTGTTTGTTTCCACCGCCATCTTACACGTCAATTTGACGGGACGAAATCCGCTGCCTGGTGCTCTCAAATCTGGCCAGTACCATTCCCTTTTCGTCGTCTCGTTCCCAGCTGAAGGGAGAGAAAACGGAAGGCTGCAGAATGCATCCCTTTGCGGCGTCGTGAGGAACCCAAAAAAAAAAATTGTCCCAGAGCAGCGGAAGTAGAGAAAAGAAACAGGGGAAAAAAGAAAAGAGATGAGCAGTCAGCACATAAGCATAGGGCTGACCAACCAGAGCGAAGAAGCATCCTTCCTTCCCGAGCCTCACTTCGTTGTGAGATTTTAGGAGCGCAAAAGTACACCCCCCTTGCGGCATCCGCTCATCCTTCAAAGCCTCCCACTATCCACACCTCGGACGGTTCTCAATGCGACGTTGTGATGGGCACAAGTCGGCCCGCGCCTGGCCAGAGAAGGTATGTCTCTGGACATGTTCAGAAAAACCCTTTATTTGGGGGTATCTGCGTCGCCTTCCCACCAGACATTTTATTTTCTTTTTTCTCGTCATGTTCCGTTGACACGAGGAGATACGAAACCCACGTAAAATACGCCGTACTCGTTATCATACCAAAAGAGTCACAAGCCGCCTTTCGCGGCAATGAGCAGCAGGCTTGGGGTTGCACTCTCGGGATTCACGGGACTGCTCTTTGGGTTGCCGTATCCCCCACGTAGTCGTCGTGCTCGGCATCCATTCTTTGCCAAGTCGCTTTCGAATCGTCTTTTGCCTGTTGTGTTATTGTTACTCACGATTGCTCACCATCCCACATAGCACAACTTTGCCGCCTCGGTCTTTTTTCTCACTGGTTGCTGATCGATTGTCGGCGATGCCGTTGTATGTGAGATTCTGCCCAAATTGTATGGTGCGCAACACGAAAACAGGACCTGGAGTCTACTTGGCGCACGACGGACGTATTACGACTGGACAGCATTTTTGGTCTGTTTGCATGTGGCGTCCCTTGTCGTCCATTGCACGCCTTTTGTTGTCCCCTTGTTTTTCCCCTTTGGTGTTCCCACCCAAATGGCCTTGTTACGAATTACTCAATACGGTTGGCCAATCTGCACAGCCCTGTCACCCCTGTTACTGCCATCCGTGTCCCGCAAACAATGCTATTGTTCGCAGCGCGCAGCCTCCAAATCTGGAAACAATGGGCAAAGCCCAGAAGATCCAATGCGAAGAAAACACGGGAGCCGACCGAGGCTAAAGAACCAACAAGTATATGTCAAATACTCTCATGGCGCCTATTACGAGTTCACCGGCGGGAAAATGACGTACAGAACATGGAGCGATTGTGGCTATTCATCCGCTGTTTTTGGCCCTTTGCCAAAGCACAGCCTTGCAGGATGGAGAAGCAAGGCCGTGTGACCTCCCTTGGCAGCCAGCCACTCCCTTCTCACGCCGGTTTACGCCGTATTTTGACATATCCATCTGAGGCACCAGAAGGGTGTCAACATAAAAAGGCACAGCCGTCTTTTGTCCGACTTGTGGCCCTACGGCGGAAGATGCCAAATCGGAACGTGTGAAGAACGTCGGCGACGTTACATCCGTGTAATTACGCCTTAGTTGGTACTCAGTTGTCGAGTATTCATTACGCCTCGGGTTGTTTATGGGCACAGAGAACTGGCCAAAATGACTGGTCAAAAGAAGTGGTCAAAAATTTTATGCGGTGATATCATGAATCGATGTGTATTTCATAGACTATTTGAAAACAAAGGAAAAGGGACTCTCTCAATCTCGTATTCGAGTCGTTGGTATCATGTTGCACATCGCTCCCACATCCGTCCCTTAGATCTGCTTCCGCAGACCGGTGCGGCTGTCCACGGTCGGGTCCAGGCGATTGGCCATGTCCGACTTGTGGGGGCCAGCGGTGGTCTGGACACCAGCACCACCGACACCGGCACCACCGACGCCGGCACCCCCGACGCCACCGACACCGCCGACACCGGCACTGTGGTGGTTGTGCGCGGCCGTGGTCGCGCCCGGGTGCGCGGTATGGGGCGTGTGGTGGTTGTGGTGGTGGGCCATGCCGGCCGCGGCGGCGGCACCGACACCACCGGCGACGGCGGGCGACACGTTGTGCTTGTGCTGCGCGGTGTGGGCGGCGGCCGTCTTGGACAGGTCGCTGTCGACCGAGGGATCGAGCTTGTTCATGATGTCGTGTCTGTGGGGGCCGGCGGTGTTGGGAGCCGGGCCGGTGGCGGTGGTCTGGGTGGCCGGGATGTGGGTGGCCGGGTTGACGCCGCCGCCGAGGTGGTGGTGATGGCCGGTGGTGCCCGTTGTGGCGCCGGTGGCCGTGGTCTGGTTATCGGGATGAAGGAGACCCATGATGGCGGTTGTGCTGTTGGAACGTGATAAAGAGGAGATGAAAGTTGGTGGGTGTTCTTATTTGCTATTTGTCGGACGATGGACGTGTATGAAGATGAAGATGAAGATGAAAACAATAGCGAGCCCAACGAGTGAACGGCCTTTTCTTATATATATGTTTGCGATGAGAACTTGGCCCAACGTCGAGAAGGCGACGGCTTCGATGAGATCATCAGGAATCCCTTGACCAAGAACGTTTTCATGGCAATGGCCAGTCCAGACAACGAACGGGCAAGCTCAAACAAGCTGCCTCCTTGGTTCATTCTACTAGCTACGGTTGAATTCTCCGCACGCGTCACGGCATCTACCAAGAGCATATGGCCGTTCTTGGAGGCCGTCCTTATGACGTCTGCGATTCTGCAAAGCAAATCCCGATCTGGAGGGTCGAGTTGTAAAAAATGCATTCTGCCGTGTCAGACAGGAGCACTAAGACTGGCAGAAGGGACCAAAGATCCCAATGAACCCTGCCTGCAGCATCATTGTTATGTAATAATATCCTTGTCCGTTGAAAATAGGCAGGCGAACAAAAGGGGAGATGGATAAAAATAAGACGTTGTGGGACTTTTCGTGCTGAAAACGTGATTCCTTGCATAAAAAAGGAAACGAATAGACGCCCGAGACGCCATTGACCGAACGGTATGCCATCTCCAACATCCTTCGAATGGTTTCCACTATCCACTAAACCCACCGTCGATGTTGTTGACGTTTGCTTTTCGTTGACAGTGGCCCCTGGCGGTTGCTGTTAGTGGGATGCTAGTGGGTCGCCTGAAACGTGGGTGGCAAGTCATGACGTGCTGCACCCCACAATTTTGGTGTCGTTTAGCCGTCATTGGCCAAGGCTTGACCAACAAAAGCAACAAATAGCAACTCTCATCTAGATTCCACGACGGAGGGCCGGTACGGAGGGACGGTATCGCGACACCGGCCCGGAGTGGTACTTCCACCTGGTCAACCAGGCAAGGCTCAGTGACCTTGAGCCAAGCTCAAGATCTCGTGAGCTTTCGTCGTGTGCAGCCTTTCGAGGATGTCGGGATGGTCACCTTCTACCCAAGCAGGAACACTGGTTGCGATACTGCCCAGCTACGCTGCTGCTATGTGCATGAGGATTTTACGCCGGCGTGCAGCATCCATTGAGTACGAACTTCTGTCCGCCGACAGACGATAGCAACCGATACCCGCCGGTAGGGTCGACTGGAAAAATAGACTTATTGTATTCCGTAATGTCTGTCGTGACAGGGGATCGTAAATGTCGTAATATTGTACAGTACTCATGCCGTCTTCTCCTTCTTCCACAGATCCCGCCACATCTCCTTGAGTCCGTAGTGCGGCTTCTTATTGTCGTACACCCGCACCGACCCTGTGCTGCCCTCGCCAACAAACCGCTCCAGCACCCGCCGCCCCATGGTCTCGCTCACGGCGTCCGGGTTGGGTTTGGGCGGCCGCGCCGCACGGTCACGGATCGTCTCGGCCAGCGTGGGCGCCACGTCTGCAAAGCACGCCAGAAGCTCGCGGTCCAGCGAAAAGTAGGGCTTCTTGGCCAGCTCGGGCGCCATCAGGTTGTACGACCGGGTCAAGGCATTGAGGTCGCGGATCGCGAGCTCCATGTACGCGCGCTCGGCGGCTTCCCACTGGGGATCACGCAAGGGGCGGGTCAAGTCGCCGACCGTCGCATCGGCGGGTGTGGGTGTGGGTGTGGGTGTGGCTTCGGCGTCGGCTTCGGCTATGTTGGCTGCGTTGGTGGCCGTGGCAGACTCCGCGCGCTTGCCGGCCTGCGCCATCACTGCGTCGTCGGTGTGGTTGGTCGCCACCGCCATCTTGTCCACGTCCCGCCGCCGCGGGTTGTGCACCTGCTCAGCTGCCGCGTATCGCTCGGCCGCCGCCATTTGGTCCTGGAGCGACCCGCCCCGGCTGGCCAGCGACCGCGCCGCATGCCGCCGCCAGTCCGTCCGCAGTTGCATCCGAAACGACCGCGCCGACCGCACGAGCTCCTGTTGCTTCTCGATCCACGGCGGCACAATCTCCTGCCGCTGGATCATCTTGTTCATAATGTATTCGGTGGTATCAATAAACGGGTTGTCGGCACGCGCATCCCGCGCGACGTTTGTCCCTCGCGGAATGTCGCGGAACTGCCCGCGCGCAATGGCGTCCTCGATGCGCTCGTTGGCCAGCGCGGCCAGGCCGGTAAACGTGTTGGGCATGTTGGCCGCGCCGGCCCCTGCGCCAAACCGCTCGCGCAGCTCTTTTCGAAAGGCGGCGCGCTGCTTCTCGTCGGCGTCTGCATCGACGGGGCCGTTCCCATTCTGCTGGTCCTTTGCCCTTGTCTTGTCTCCCATGCCCATGCCAGCGTACACCGTGGCCTTGTCGCGCGCGTTGGCCGCCCGCTGGCCCGGAGTCTGAGACGGCGGTCGCCGCAGCCGCAGGTCCACAACAACTGGGTTCGGTATGGACGGCTTCCCGCGCAGGCTCGGCGGCAGCGGCTTTCGTGCATCGTCGAGCATGCGCAGGATCGTGTCTTCCGGTGCCTCGTCGCCGGTCCAGTGCTGCGCCGCCGCCAGGCCACGCGTGCCGGCACCCGTCCGGCTGGCCGACCCAAGTGTCTGTGCGTCCAGTCCAGCAGCAGCAATGGTGCGGCTGTGCTCGGTCCGGAACTCGGCGTCGGCAATCTTGTCGAACAGGCGGTTCTTGAGCTCTTCGCTGAAACCGGCTTCTTCGACGGCACGCCGCCCAGCACGGCCGCCGGTCAGAAGGGCGTCTTCCGTTGCTTCTTCGAGCCGTCTTGACATGGCACTTGACTCCTTCTTCTCGGCCGTCTCACTCAAAGGCTGTTTCGGGCTGTCTGTTGTCGAGTATGGCCGTGCTTGTCCAATCATTGGTGGTCGTGGGAGCCGACGAGGCCGCGCCGGCCGCAAAAGCGCAGCGCGGACGCAGTGCTGACACACGAATCGCGGTGTCGACATGGCGGATTGCCGTCGACAAAGCATCGCATGGCTGCAGTAGTCAAGTAGGAAAGAGAGCGTAAAGAGAGACACGTCACATCATCCGCCGATGTTGATACAAAATTCGCCTTTACCGGAGTTAGCGGCGTATCACTCTCTCTGCAGCGGACGGTTCCGGCGCTGAAATGTGCTCCACCCTTCTAAAGCTGTTTTTCGCTGACGGCACTAGCGCCGTTGCTCTGTATTAGTCATTTCAATTAAACAAAAACAGACGCGCGACGCGTCTTCTCACAGTTGGCGGGCGAGGGGTTGTTTTTTCTACAATTTACAACGGCCAGCAGACGTCACCCAAGGCAAGTGGACTAGAAACCTGACAGGACATCCGACTGTCCTGCTTCCTCGACCACCGACACAACACATACGCACAATGCCTGCCGCACGAGACGACACCGCGGCTGTCGAGCCAGCGCCGGCGCCCGTTGCAGCCAAAAACGGCACCGAGGCACAGACACAGACACAACAGACAGAGACACAGCCGACAGAGGCACCACCTGCCGAGGGCAACAAGGAAGAAGACCAGTACCTCGACCTCGTCCGCGAGATCCTGGAGACCGGCGAGCACCGCCCCGACCGCACGGGCACCGGCACCTACTCCCTCTTTGCCCCGCGGCCGCTCAAGTTTGCGCTGCACCGGCGAGACGCGGCCTCGGGCGACGTCGTGCCCGTCCTGCCGCTCCTCACCACCAAGCGTGTCTTTACGCGCGCAGTCATTGAGGAGCTGCTGTGGTTCGTGCGCGGCGAGACGACGTCGACGACGCTGGCCGCCAAGGGCGTCAAGATCTGGGACGGCAACGGGTCGCGCGCCTTTCTGGACCAGATGGGCTTCACGGACCGGGAGGACGGCGACCTGGGCCCCGTCTACGGGTTCCAGTGGCGCCACTTTGGCGCCGCGTACCAGGACCCGCACACCGACTATGCGGGCCAGGGCGTCGACCAGCTGGCCGAGGTGGTGCGCAAGCTCAAGGAGACGCCGTTTGACCGGCGCATTCTCCTGTCGGCCTGGAACCCGCGCGACCTGCCGCAGATGGTGCTGCCGCCCTGCCACATGTTTGCCCAGTTTTATGTGTCGTACCCGGACGCGCCCCGGCGACGGAGCACGTCTACAACAGCGGCAGCAACCGCCCACCCGCCGCCGCCTTCGGCACCGTCGACCGCATCGACCGCGTCGGTCGGCCACCTCCACTGCCAGCTGTACCAGCGCTCCTGCGACATGGGCCTCGGCGTGCCCTTCAACATCGCCTCGTACGCGCTCCTGACCCACATGCTGGCGCGCGTCTGCGGCCTCGTGCCCGGCTCGCTGACGCACGTCATGGGCGACGCGCACGTCTACGTCGACCACGTCGACGCGTTGGAGACGCAGCTGGCGCGCGTGCCCCGGGCGTTCCCGACGCTGACGATCCGCAACGACGGCAACAGCATTGACGGCTGGCAGCTCGAGGACTTTGTGATTGAGGGGTACAACCCGTACAAGGCGATTGCGATGAAGATGTCCGTGTAGGCCCGTGGGATTGGTAGATTGTGGTTTTGGTTGGCGAAACACAGCACGAGCGTGTCTGGTTATCTGCTTGTATTTTTTGTATTGTCATGCCACACGGGCCGTGTACACGCACGGAGGTCCTACTGTATACAATTGGTTTAGAATTAAGATTATGAAACAATAAAATTGTATGGGGGTATCTTGTATGAAGAAGTGTGACAAACAAAAAAATCACGACGAGTAAGAATAGATACAGGAAGGAAGAGGGAGAAATGGAAACCAGGAATAAAACAACGCCGAAACCAATGAAATGGCCCTGCCATGCATCATCCAACAACCAGTCCAACAGGAGGACGTCGTGGCTACGCCGCTAATGTCGGTTGCGAACAGCCTCCTCCTTTTCCCAGATGGCCAGCGCGCTCGTCGCCGCCATCACCGACCACCGCTCGCCCAGCGCCCCCGTCAGTCCGGTGCCCACGTAGGCAAACTTGAGCTGCTTGGTCATGCTCATCCGCGCGTCCGAGTACATCGCCACGACCTCGCGTCCATCGGACGACACAAAGCCAGGGGCGGGCTGCGCCCGGGGTGCGCCAGGCAGGGGCGCCGTGCTCATGCGCACCAGCTTCCACCCCTCACGCGCGCCGCCCAGCGCCGCCACGGCATTGCCGTAGCTGTGGCGCCACTCAAAGGTCTCGCGGTGGACGTTGCGCGGGTCGGTGCCGACCTCCATGGTGAAGGTATAAAAGTGCGACCAGCCCAGCACGATGTCGAGGCGCACGGCCGTGGATCCGCCCCGGTACGTCAGGGGCGGTGGCAGCGTGATGGACATGTGGTCCGACATGGGGACATAGTCGACCGCCGCCAGCAAGGGCGACGTCTCCGGATTGGGCCCGTTGTGCAGGGCGATGACGGGATTCGACATTTGCCACAGGGGCCGCATGCGCACGGCGTACAGGGGCGTCTGCTGGTGCTCGCCCAAAAAGTACACGCGCGAATAGTTGTCGCCATACAGGTTGAATGCGGCTGGAAACTGGCGGCCCGTCGGAACCGAGCCGGGGGCCGGGCGTCGGCCAGGACCGCTGCCACCGTTGCCGCTGCTGCTGCTGCTGCTGCCACCACCGCCGCCGCCGCCCGCACTCGTCGCTGGTCGCGGTTGTCCGGGCTTGCCGCCAAACGTACCTCCGTCTGCTTGTTGGTAGCCGGGTAGATGGCTCGAACTGACACTGCCAAAGCCGCCGGCCACGGCGGGCCGCGACGAGCCTGCACCAAGGCTCCCGCTGCTCAGCCGCGCGTTCGCGTTGGTACTGCTCCCCGCGCTTGTGCGGCGTCCACCGTTTGCGCCCAGGTGGCCATTCGAGGCGGCAGGTCGTAATGGGTGGCCGCTGGGTACAGCTAGGTTGTTGCTGTTGTGGGCCATCGACGGTGGCAGACCAGCGCCCGGTGACGGGGCACTGCCCGGCGAAGGACTTGCTCCGGGCACCGGGGGCACCGGCCTACTTAAGGAGGCTGGCGAGATGCCAGTGGCTTCTTCGTACGACGGCGGCGGTGCGTCTGGAGGGATGTCGAGGAGAGGATCGCTCGGGGGAGCGAGATGGCCCGCAGAATCTGGACTTAATAGGAGGGGCGTCGATGGAGTCTGGTTGATGGTACTTGCATCGCGGCTGTAACTGATGGGGCTGGAGACTGCACGGCTGCCCATGGTGTCGCCGGGCCCTGACGACCCCTTCGACCGGGCTTCGGGGGGCCGGTCCATTGGGAGGGATGGAGGGGGAATGTCGGTGGAAAGAACTTGTTCGGTAAAGCTCGCGCCGAAATATGCAGACAAAGTATATCGTAAGTGCTGCCGATGACGTCGGCTGACTCGGTGGTCGTCGGGGAGTCGATATGACGCGGACAACTGCGTCCAAACCGAGTCACGGCGTGCGTACAGATGATCTAAAACGATGCAAAGACAAAACCGTCGAGAGTGGGCGGAATAAAGGAGCTGTTTCCGCTCAGAAAAGAAAGGTGGTGCTGAAGGAGGAATGTTGGCGTCAGGCGTCTGTCTTGTGTGAATGGGTCACACTCGTTGGCAGCGACCCCAGACTGACAAAGAATGCTCAAGAGAAAAAAGGGGATGGGAATAAAGCAGCAAAACAATCAATGGACGGGGACTTGCCAAAGGGCCAACTGTGGGAGTGGAAGGGAGGAATACGGTGGTGAAATTAGAGGCGACGATGAAAAATAGCTGAAAATCAGCTCACTCGTGAAGGACTATGTGGTCGGGCAAGAGCAGCCCACCAAGTCGGGGGCGAAGCGGGCCCACACCTGCCACGGAATTGGCCTTTGGGCGCGTAGACGGGGTTATGGTTGGTGGTGGTAGTGGCATCGGTGCACGGGATTTACAGCTGTAGGCCTATTTTGCACTAGAAAAAGGAAACACAGCAAACACATACAGAATACAGTGGTCGTACGTCATCGGATGGCTGCCACAGCCACAGGGCTGAGCATCCTGGTCTCTTGTCTGTAAGATACGCACTGAACTGCAATTTCCCTGAACATTTGATAAGATAGTTCTGGGTGTCGTGTGTCGTACTCTGAAAAGGCTTCTGACAGTCGCTTTTTGCTCTTTTGCTTCTCGATCACCCAGCCTTGTCCAGTTCTGCCTCTTCCGATCGGCACTCTGGTCACCCAAATAATCTGCGAGACAGCACACGACACCAGACTTTGGCCAGGCATGTCAATATCGTCCAACTTCTTAGCATCTCAGCCTCTTCATCTCCCTTCCCCACTCAGCTCACCAAGGCTAGTTCTAGCCGGTGGACAAACTGCCTCTTCTGTGGAGGCGTTACGCGTCGTCCTGATTTCTTTCAGTCCTTGTTTCGTTCACTGTTATTCGTCCTCCTTATCGTGGCCTCATACTCCTTGCTCGTCCTCCCGGGGTCTCTCGGGCGTCTAGACTCAACAGTAATCATGATCGCCGCCTCTTTGTGTTGTTGCTGCTCTTCCTTCCGCCAGACCGTTGCGAGGAAGTGGGTCTGGTGGCCAGGCCTAGCCAGGGGCCTGCGGGCGCCCTCTTGCAACGCTGCGGCTACTCTCCTGAGTCTCCCCCGAACCCCAATCAACCCCATTCCAAGCTGCCGGAGCCGTGTTGTCCGGACCAACGACATTGGCGTCTGCCTAGTGAACGGCATGCCTTCGTCCCACAGCCACTGCCCAACACGGCCAGCAGTTGTCCATGCATGGCCTTTTGCAGAGGGACGAGATAAGTCCTCTGAGAAGGTAAGATAAGATTACTTTTAACACAGCCAAGGTATGGCGTGCCGGCAATTTTGTTTTGTTTGAAAATAATTACATGAAACACTGCGTAACATGCTGGGTAGTGGCAGGCTTCTCTTTTGGTGCGCCCTGCGTTTTCAAGTCGGGATACAAAAATAGACCAGGAAGAGGCTCAAGTTTCTCAAGGCAGGGCAGACTGCGCTGGGCCGGGCGAACAAGGCACACAAGTGACAGGAGGGGGATGTTTGATATCAAGTTGTACAGAATAACGCCATTGCTGTACTCCGTACTCAAGGATATATGGCGTAGGGTAATATATGATGAACGCGGATCTTTAATTGTATTGAAAGTGGAATATTTCAAGGTCTGATATGATAAGTTTTAGGGTCTAAATAAATAACTTCTCATTGTCTTTGAGACATTCTAAATTTGCGTTGTCTTGATTTATATGAGTCAAGACAAAAACTTGACTGAAATAAATCAATAGGCACATAAACACTTGACAAAAAACTTTACCCAATTTTACAACAGTTTCTGCCATGGTACAAAAAACTACGAAATTGAGAGTTACCGGATATTGCCAGATATGTCGCAGTATCCAATTGTACGTCTTCCGAAAAACGGCAGCTCTCTGAGAAAACCAGTCCCGGATATCATGAAAATGCCCAATGTAATCACTTCAATGTGCCCCGTGCGCCCAATACAACCAACGAGTCTCGGTTTTCTTCCAGCCGTGCTTCCACGCCACGTATATGCCTCCTCTCTAATCCTCCAAGTCTGGGTCGACGGCCGTCCCAAGATCGCGCGCCTCCAAGAAACTCCGGCCAAGCAGGTCGTCCGGTAGGTAGTCTTGCCGCACGCGTCCGTTCACATAATTGGGGTTGTACTTGTACTCCTTTCCATAGCCGAGATCCTTCATGAGGCGTGTGGGTGCATTGCGCAGGTGGATGGGGATGGGCAGCGAGGCGACACCCGGCTCGCGCAGCGCCGCAAACGCATTGTTGAGCCCGCGGTAGGCGCGGGTGCTCTTGGGCGCCAGCGCCAGGGCGACGGCACAGTGGGCCAGCGGGATGCGGGCCTCGGGCATGCCAATCTGCTGGGTGGCCGTGTAGGCCGCCGTGGCGAGCGGCAGCAGCGAGCTGTCGGCGAGCCCGACGTCCTCGGAGGCGATGACGACCATGCGGCGGGCGACAAACAAGGGGTCCTCGCCGGACTGCAGCATGCGCGCCAGGTAGTAGAGGGTGGCGTCCGGGTCGGAGCCGCGCACCGACTTGTGGAACGCCGAAATGGTGTCGTAGTGCTGGTCGCCAGCGCGGTCGTAGACGAGCGTCTTGGTGAGCGCGGCCTTGAGGTCGTCCTTGGTCAAGGCTTTGCCGGGGTCGTTGGTGGGCCGCGCCGCAATGGACATGGCCAGCTCGAGCAGGTTGAGCGCCGTGCGGGCGTCGCCGTCCGAAAAGGCCGCCAGGTACGCCAGCAGCTCGTGGTCGATGAGCGGCGACAGGGCCGCGCCTAAGCCGTTTGGTTTGGTGTGTGATGCGTTGGGTGTGCTGTCGCTGTCTGTGTGTGCACGCGTGTCGTCTTGCGTCTCGCCCCCAGCCTCGCCCCCAGCCTCGACCACAGCCTCGCCTACTCGCACGCCCGTCTCTTCCAGCACGGCGCGCGCCAGAATCCGCTGCACGTCCTCCTTTGTCAACGACGCCAGCGTAAACGTCCGGCAGCGCGACAGCAAGGCGTTCACGACCCGAAACGACGGGTTTTCCGTGGTGGCGCCAATCAGCGTGATCGTGCCGGCCTCGACCGGCTTGAGGAACACGTCCTGCTGCGCCTTGCTGAACCGATGGATCTCGTCGCAGAACAAGATGGTCTTGCGTCCGGTGAGGGACAGCTCGTTGGCCGCGTCCTGGAACAGCTTCTTGCACTCGGCCACGCCGCCGCTGCTGGTGGCGTTCATCTCGACAAAGCGGCTGCCGACGCGCTGCGCGATACAGCGCGCAATGGTGGTCTTGCCCGTGCCCGAGCCGCCCCACAGAATCATGGACGGCACACGGTCGGACTCGATGAGCGCACGCAGCACCCCGTTGGGCCCGACCAGCTCCTGTCCACAGACGTCGTCCAAGGACTGCGGCCGCATGCGTTCGGCCAGCGGCGCTGCCCGCTGCGTGCGTGAGCGTTTGGCGGACGGCAGTGCCGCTTGTGCCGAGGACGGCGGCGGAGCCGCTCCGTTCGTTGGGGCCACCTCCCCATTTGTATGTATCCTGCCGCCTCCGTCGTCGCCTCTGTCTCCATCTGGTTGTGGTGGCGAGCTCTGCCCTGGGCCCTCCTCAAATGTGCGCTTCTTTGACCCGCCGGCTGCGCCTTGCGTTGTGATTGGCAAGGTAAACGTCGACATCGTGCTCTTTACGCCTTGCGAGGCACTCGGTGTGCCGTGCGTCCCGCTCGCACCGTTTGTGGCGGCGGAGGTGCTCTGCTGTCGTTTCGCGGCGGGTGTCTGGAAAAAGGACGAGGCCGACCGCTTCTGCTGCGAGCTCGATCCGAGGGACGGTGAGCTCGGCGGCGGTGTCGGTCGTTTTGTGCTGCTTCCAGCCGTCCCTGTGCCATTCGCTTCGTCGGCACCCTCCTCCACGATATGTGTTGCACAGCCGGCGTCGAGGTGGGCGTTGATATCGGATGGTCGTACATGTTTGCTGCAGATCGGACAGTCGACGACGGCCGTCTGGCCGGCAGGCCGCGCGAACATGTTTGACAAAACGTCGTTGGACAGAGACCAAAAGAGGCCGGCGAGTATATGTAGATGTCGTGAAAGATGCTTGACGTTTACGAGGTGCAAGGCGAGCCTAGGTCAACACAAGGAATGGAATGTTATTGACAGGCGTGCTTAAGGGGAGTTTCACAGTCTATCCTGGGAGACGCGTTTGTCACAGCAGAACGAGGCAGCGCCACACGCGGCAACACGCGCTAAGCTACAGGGGCGAGGGGTCCTGCACTTTAGTGGCCCAAAGAAGCCCATACTAAAATACATGGGCGAATCGAGCATGAGAAAGTCGCCACTGCATCACTGCCTGTCGTCGTTTAGGTTCGTTTTGGGTTTACGATGGCGAATAATATGATACTCGAAGTACGACTTTTTCTTGTCATTACGCTGCCTCATTGTTGCCAAGGATACTCTGGACTTGTCTCGTCTGATGTGTAGACTGGATGATACGAAACTCGTGTAAAAGAAAGGGAAAAGACCATGTATTCTATAGAAATGCACGAGGGGAAAAGATGTGTATAGGTCATGTATTCATTAGGCAGGTCCGATGCGCGTGTTCCATGCGGTGCGGTCCATGGACCTCTGATCTTACACCATAAACGACTCGCCGCAGCCACATTCCTCCTTGATGTTGGGGTTCCGGAACACAAACCGCTGGTTCAGCTTGTCCTCGACCCAGTCCATCTCGGTGCCAATGATGCTAAAGAGCGCCTTGCTGTCCACCAGCACATGCACGCCGTCCTGCTCCACCATCTCGTCAAAGGCGCCCGGCTTCTCGACGTACTCCAGGTTGTAGGACAGGCCGCTGCATCCGCGGTTGCGCACGCCAATCTTGAGGAGCTTCGGGTCCGGCCCCTCGAGCAGCTCGCGGACCTGGTCGACAGCGGCGGGCGTCAAGCGCATGGCGGCCTTGCGCGGCGTGCGCAGCCGGGAGGGGCGTTTCTTGGGGGCACCGGCCGTTGGTGTGGTCGACGGGGACGCTGCAGCGGCGGACGCGGCGGCGCTTGTGGTGCTTGTGGTGCTGGCCTTCTTTGCCTCTGCCTGTTTCGTTTCCGTCGCGGCCGACTGTGCCTCCTCCACTGGCATCTTCAGTGCCTCCGTGGCCGTCGGCGCAGGCGAGTCGGCTGGCACGACCGGCGACGGCGGCGGCGGCGGTCGCATAGTCATGGGCGATGTGGGCTCAGTGTAGAGGGAGTAGCGTGTGTAGGGAGTTGTGGACGATGCGGTCTTGGGGTTTGCCGCTGAAGATGTTGTCGAGGAGTTCGATGTCGCCTCCGCCTGCGCAAACGGCGGGGGTCGCTGGGCGGCCGCGGTACTGGACAGGTAGCGGCGGCGCTGATGCGCAGGAGCAGGCGATACCATGCTGCTGCGACTGAGCGAGAACAAGTGCTGCTGTGGCTGCAGCTGTTGCGGCTGCAATTGCCGCCGTGGGTGATGCTGGCGCAGCTGTCGGACGAGGCCCTGCCGGCAGAAAAGGCAGGCTGACTCGGCTGACTGTCGCGGTAGGAGGGCGTTCATTTTGGATGGACGGTGGAAGGCGTTGTGGTAAACGAACAGGAAAGAAGAAAAAAAAGAAAAGAAGAAGGAGTCGCTGTGAAGATGTGAACGCTTGTCCGAAAGCAATGGGTGGATTGGCGGTCGCAGAGGAAGTTGGATTTCTAAGAAAATGGGTTTGAAGAAATGGGTCTAGTTGGTTACGTCGAGGAAAAGGGTCGTTCCTTCCCCCGGCTTTTCCAGGGCCGCATGTGGAAAATGGGGCGACAACTGGACAGTGCGAGGCAATTTGTGGTCCGATGGCGCTGGTTACTGTGTATGGGCCGACTTTGACCGGGCCAATGACAGGCGCCGCAATGGTCAAAAACAGGCGCCCGCAAATAAGCGGTGGTTCTGCTAGGCCGACGCTGGTTGGTAATTACGAGCGGACTTTACAGCGGTCCAAAAAGCACAGCATAATTGAGCTGAACATACAATGGCCTCAGATCATACTCACAAAGATGCACACATTGTATAAGACAAATTCAGTTCTATGTACGACTTGAGAATTGAATGGATGAGAAAAGGACAGGAATATAGCAATTGCAGCCGTTGCTCGTCTGCTTTTGTATACCACAAAAACGCCCACAAAACGCCAGTGCTCTCATGGTGTCCCAGGGAAGTAGCAAT